CAGGAACTAACCTGCAGTCTCATTTCTCTGCTTCTCTTTGCTCATCCCCTTCCATCCCGGAGGGTCCAGATTCTGCCCAACATGTGACTCACCCAGTCACGACCCTCCCCTGCCCTTCTAAAGGCTGGTTGAAAAGTGCCGATTAATTGTTCACCAGAAATTTGAAAACAACACAGCAAAGCTTCCTGAGCAAAAGTTTTTCGGATAAAACAGAAAAAAAAATGGAAAAAAACCCAATTAAAATTCTACAAAATGTGAATTGAAAGAATATTTTGATAACTCAATTTACAATGGAAAAATTGTCTAAAAGTATGCACCTTTTTATCCCAAATGATTCAGAAAGCACATTTCAACGAAACGTGTGTCAGCTGCATTCATTTTCTCATCTCAAAACCAGGGTAGCTTGCGAGCTGTTTACCTGTGCACAATTTTAATGTCTGTCTTGAACTCTGTCTTACCAGGTCTGTGTGCCGTGCCTTACTAACCAACGTTTCTTCCTCACTCACTTGCGTTCCCAGCAAATTGCATGGGATTCCCAGCACTAACTCTGTCAAGGTGGTTCCATATAATCCCCATTTCTTACTAATATTGTTCTTGTTGCTTTCTTTCCCTCCTTGACTCCATGAAAATGGAAGTAATTGGTGTTTTTCCTGCATGGCGCTTTGTTTCTGCACTGTGGACTAGGCTGTGTGTGGCATTTTTCGGCGCGGGCCATTCCGCCAAACCTGCCGATTGTCCGGTGCGGAGCACAGGACATTGGAAACGGGTAAGAGTCGAGCGATGGGACTGTGGGAGGATGGATTTCTCAAGGGATGACATGATCCAGCACTTTCAGGGCCTTCCGCCACCACAAACATGGGCAGCAGGTGCCTCACAGTTACCTATAGGAATATGTCTTCATGTCTGTGTTCATATCAGAGTCAGGTTTCTCACCTTCCTTTTGTACAGCCAATCTAGACTGGAGAAGATGACTGTCTTAAGGTGGACAATTATTTAGGAGGGGAAAAAAGCAAGATCTGAACATTTATATTGTGATGACAGAATAAGACATGAGAGTCTGACTGACACACAGGTGCTTGCAGAAAGCACTTTTGATGGAGCCGTTCTGGTTCTATGCTTGTGGCTAATACAGAATTGGGAAAAAGTAGATGTTAAGTTAAATTAAATAGACCTGATTTGCACCCTTTTTTCGTACGACTGGGCCTTTTTTGCTTCTTTTAGGATGTCATTACATATGACTAAATGCAAATTAAAGACTATTTCATTTAATCATATTCTGCTCATTGCTTATACACAGTGTTCACTGATCTGGTCATGAGAGCCAGAAACAGAAAATAGAGTGGGAGGGACATTCCCTTGCTGGCCCCTTGCAGGGTCTTTCCTTGCAGGAGAAGGCAGCATGACACAGCTATTTCAGACCTAGAGGGATGGCATCTAAGGAGATGATTATCCCTAGATTTAGCAGAAGGGATAGAAACAATGCTGGGTCTTTGCAGTTCATCCTTCCCTGAAAGCTTGTCCAGTGGTGGCCTGGGAAGGAGCCGTCTCTGCCCGGGGATGTAGGTGAGCCCAACATGGAGAGCAGCCTTCAGGGCAGATGGAGCTGAGCTGTTCACGCTGGAAGGAGAGGCAGGTGTCCCTGTCATGCTGTGTGAGACCACCTCTGGAAGACCTCACACACCAGGGGACATGAGAGAGCCAACACAGGCTGACATATGCCCTAAAGGTGACATGTCTTGAGCACGTTGAAGTGAAAAGAGCAGTTGAGCACAAGGCTTTGTCCCTGGGGGTATCTTGAGCGGAGGCCCATGTCCTCTGCTTGAAACTCTTGCTTTTTTTGCCCAGGTGGACGTGCACTCAGAGCAGTATAAGTCCTCAGTACAACATCTGTGAGCAGATGGTCCAGATCCGAGATGACCACATCCGCTTCATCTCAGAGCTCGCTCGCTACAGCAACAGCGAGGTAAGCTCAGCGGGCAGCTGCCCTAATCAGGCTCGTTAGACAGATGAGGTTGGGAGAGGACAAGCATGCCAGGAGTATGGTCTGCCAAGGACATATATTGAGGAGGGAAAAAACTACTTAAGTGGTGGAACAAACCAGTTCTCAAGTTATGGAAGGCCCCTGCAGGCACAAAATCATGTGCACCAGAAGATCTCCTGCAACAGCTTCTCCTCTTTGGCCACAGCCTTGTTGAAATGTGAAAAAGAAGAAAATTTGCAACTAAATGCTTATTTTCGGCCAGATGGCAGAACACCCAAGACTTGCAAATGGGTCTTTTCTGTTATACAGAGCTTTGGTCAGGGCTTCAAGGAAAGTTCACGAGTGCATCTCTGTTCTTTTCATTTCTGACTGTCAGTGACTGGTTTTTTGCAAATATGTGATCCTCATTCATCATCATTAGTTTAATGAATTGTCAGCATTCTCGGCTCTTTTCTTCTTGGCATTCTTAAGTGTTTATTTGAACTTTAAATCAGTAAAGGACTCTCAAGGATTTCCGTAGTATTAGACCATCAAAAAGGAATGGGAAATTGGAATGAAAACAGCCAGTTATTTGCTCAGAGATGACATATCAGACTCATTTTTCTGTAGGAAATAAATTGACTGCCTGGGTAAAAAGAGCCTGGCCAAGTTATAGCCCTTTTCCTGAGGGACTATATATATCCACCGCTCAAATTTAGCTTGATTGTAAGGTCATGGGGAATTGATTTCAGTTGGGATTTGAGAGAAAGAGATCTGTGGCTGCTGTTTGGCTCAGTGAAGTCTCTGCAGCAAGTTGCTGAGTGTAGTCCTTGCGCGATGTGATGTTCTCCAGGTGGTCACTGGCTCAGGACTGGACAGCCAGAAATCAGATGAAGAATACAGGGAGCTCTTTGATCTTGCTTTACGGGGATTGCAGCTGCTGTCCAAGTGGAGTGCCCACGTCATGGAAGTGGTGAGTGTGCAGTGTCCTCCTTTTCCCAGCTGAGCATGAACTTTTTAACATGGCTTGTAACAAAGACTGTGGAAAGGTGAGCTTACTTTCATGCCACCTGACTTTAAGCTATTAACAAATACACTAAGATCAGGCAGCTAATGACCCTGAACACTTTCAGTACCACATAGAGAAAGAGAACTTGATCATCTTACCCTGGACCTGAACTGCCCTTTGCAGGTGCTGGGGTGTCCCCACTGATGTTAGAGGGGGACTGGGTGACTGTTCTCCTAACCTGAACTCCTTGGTAAAGTACTGAAAGCAGATTGGGATGAGTCTGGGTCTTGAGCAGCTAAAACTGTACTTCAGATGATAATGGAAATTCTTAATTTGGAAAATTTCGACCACATCTCAACACAAGTCCATAGATACCAAAAGCCCAGTATGACTGCAACCTCCCAAATAAACAAAAACAATATTCAGTGCAGTGATAATAAAGCCAGGAAGAAGCACAAAGTCTCCCAGAGGAACGTCAACAACTGTAGTAGTGTCTAGGGAGTATTTTCCTGGGCCCTCTTCAGTCTTTCCAGTCTGGCTTCTTACTCACTGCGATGTTGACAGCGTCTCTTTCCATTTTCTAGTACTCTTGGAAGCTGGTTCATCCCACAGATAAATTCTGTAATAAAGATTGCCCAGGAACAGCAGAAGAGTATGAGAGAGCCACCCGGTACAATTACACCAGTGAAGAGAAGTTTGCCTTTGTAGAGGTAGGTGCCAGCTGCACAAGAGTGAAAATCAGTGAGGGTTGGTTTCCTGACCATGTTCTTCAGGCCAGGGGAAGAGGAGGGAAGGGCATCTCACCATACTTAGCCAGTTCCTCATCCCTGTGGCCAACGTTAAGGGCTTAAATGCTTCCACATCCCACAGTGCGACTTGGAGCAAGACCTGGAACTACATTCAGGCACTGTGCCAGCACAAGAGATTTTCAGCTAGTCCCCAGGACCTGTCAACTCTCAGTTCAGCTATCTGTGGACAGTGGGAATAGTCCTCCAAGCCTACCCCTCACACCTTCATCTTGCCTTACACAGTGGCTTGGACACGCCTTAATTTTGTAGGTCACTCCTTCCCGGGAATTGTCACTGTACCCTAATGCAAGGAAGCCTGTGCCCTGGTGTGGGTGGAGAGCTGTGCAAGCCACGCAGCTGCACCCACGTGTGGAGCACATGCAGTTCCCTGGGACTGTGTGTTATTACAGATATCAAGAGATCAGAAGTGGAAATAGAGCCTGCCAAGAGACGGGCCATTTGCAAGAAACTGGTGGTGTAAATGCTCTCCTCAGCTTGTTGTGAACTGTAAGGCAGCTAACACCAAAAAAACTACCCACCTAATTACTGGACCTAAGCTACCCGAGTAGAATTGGTTTACTCCCAAATTCTCTTAATGCTGGATTTATGGACCTCTTCATACAGTGGAAAAATAGCAAATAGATCTGGTTTTAATTTTTGCTTCAGGTAATTGCCATGATCAAAGGTCTTCAAGTGCTGATGGGCCGGATGGAGAGTGTCTTTAACCAAGCCATCCGCAACACTATCTATGCAGCCCTGCAGGACTTTGCCCAGGTGACCCTGCGGGAGCCACTCAGGCAGGCTGTCAGGAAGAAGAAGAATGTTCTCATCAGGTCAGTCTGTCCTTGAATGTAATGCAAACCCCATGTCTTTGTGTAGCATTTGTACTACATAAGCACATGGCCCTGCATACACCTCAGAGCATACAACAAGCCAACATACCTTGGCCAGCAGCACTTTCTGAGGTAACTTTTGGGCAAGACTCCTCCAATAACAATAGTGTATGTCCCCACCACAGATATTTTTCCTCCTATATGTGCACAGCAGTGAATATTTTCATCTTGAAGTAGAATCAAGCTTAAGCTGTCCCTTTCCCACTCACTCCAGCGTCCTTCAGGCAATTCGGAAGACAATCTGTGACTGGGAGGGAGGTCGAGAGCCTCCAAATGATCCTTGCCTGAGAGGTGAGAAGGATCCTAAAGGCGGATTCGATATTAAAGTCCCACGACGAGCAGTAGGACCATCAAGTACGCAGGTACGTAAATGTCCGTCTCCTGTGTGTGGAATTAATGCTCTTACACCCATGCAGGAGTCTTCCATGCTGTGAATCAGCAGCTGTTTCCACGGTTTATTTGTGTCTTCACACTGTTGATTGTTAAATGTTGCTTTGGTGCCAAATTTGTTGTATAGTTCCCAAAGCCTCCTTTTTAAGGGTGTAATTATTTCTAGCTCAGAAAGATAGTGGCTTATGGGTGCAGGGAGTAGGAGCCACCTGGGAGAAGTGTTATTTTTTGTTGCAGAGCACTGTGGCCTTGTGTTGCAGTGTCTCACTGCAGAGTGCTAACTGCCTGTCAACTTTCTTTCAAAGCTTTACATGGTGCGGACCATGCTGGAATCCCTGATAGCAGACAAGAGTGGCTCAAAGAAGACCCTAAGGAGCAGCTTGGATGGGCCCATAGTCTTGGCCATTGAGGAGTTCCACAAGCAGTCCTTCTTCTTCACCCACCTCCTCAACATCAGCGGTGAGGTTATGGCAAGGGGAGGCTTGAATCCAACTCTTGCATGCTCAGAAAGGCAAGGGTAGAGCCGCTTTGCTCCTCATTGACCTATGCAGAAGATTTTCCTTGATTTTTTCCCAGATGTCCTACTTTTGCCAGATTCAGGTGTTTTTCTAGGTAGTAATCATTATGTGAACAGGAATGAGCCAGCAAACAGTCACAGGTGGTAGATTTTCTAGGACCAGAATTTTCTTTTGGTCCAGACAAATTTCTGAGCTACTGGGCACAGAAGAAATCTTCCAGAGTAATCAGGAGCCATTGAAATGTTCTGCTTGGAGCTCTAGAGCAAAAGCAATGATCCCTTTTTTCTTCTTCCATCACAAAATGCTCAGACGCCATGGCACATGGTCTGGGTTTAAAAACAGAGACATCCTAGAAAAAAGTTCCGTACCCAAAACTAGTCCAACATGAGGCTGCAGCAAGTGCCTGTTGTGCAATTCCGTGATGGCCATTCCCGTGGGGGTAACATGGGTGCCCTCTGGCTGGGGGGATCTCCTCTGTGTTTCAGAAGCACTGCAGCAGTGCTGCGACCTGTCCCAGCTCTGGTTCCGCGAATTCTTCCTGGAGCTGACCATGGGCCGCCGCATCCAATTCCCCATCGAAATGTCCATGCCCTGGATCCTCACGGACCATATTCTGGAAACCAAAGAACCCTCCATGATGGAGTAAGAGCTGGCGGGCTCTGCTGGGATTGTGCACGCGCTGTGGTTTGGGAGTTTGTTTTGGAGAAGGGCAGGCTGGTGATGAACAGTCTTTTTGATGTGGGAGGGAAAATGGATGTTTCTTGACTTGCTGTCACATGAATGTGCGCTGTGCGAACACCTCGTTAGCAGACGCACACGGGTGGCTTCCTGGCACTTACTTGTGCATCATAAACCAGCAGTTGGCAACTCTGTTCGGGTGTGGGCACAACTTGGTGGTACCATCATCTGCATGCAGCAGTCAGACAGATCGTGAAACCAAAGGGATGTGTGCCCTGGCTAAGGCTCCTAAACATGGGTTTTTACATATGTGATAAGAGATGAGAGGAATTGCTATTGTGTAAATGTAACGATGTTCATAATGTCCTCCTCATTAGGAAAAATGTTTTCTATTTTACAGCCATAGTCAGAGCACTCTGTGAAGTGAAGGCAGGATGAGAGCTTTTTTAAGGGCACAGAAGGAGCAAGTGTTGATGGAAGAAGTCACAGTTAGCTCAAATCCAGATCTGTTCTAGCTGCTTCCAGCAGGACACAAGGAGAGAGAGCTTGTGGCAGGGCGAGGCTGGAAGGGCTAGAGGAAGGGGAGGTGATAGGAGTGAAGCCAGAGAAAAGCTATTTTTTGCACTGAGCAGGGTGCATGCACTGGCTGCCACTTTTGCTGATATGCTCCAAAGTTAATTTAAGATATGGTCTGTCTTCTTGCCCTCAGGTATGTTCTCTACCCATTGGACCTCTATAATGACAGTGCATACTATGCCTTGACCAAGTTCAAAAAGCAGTTCCTATACGATGAAATTGAAGCTGAAGTAAGTTCCCTTCTTCTTTATTTATAGAAGTTGCTCACTGGGGTAACACTGCCTTGTTTGACAGCCCCACCCAGCAGCTCAGTAAATTCTTTACAGGCATCTCCTGAAAACAATACCCAATAAGAATGTTTGCAAAAGATCAGAATTTCCAGAGAGCTTAGAGACTCTGCTGATTAAGGGCTTCAGCTTAGCTGTACCCATGGGGAACTGTGGAAGTCAAAGGCTCTCAAACACTGGGAATGTGGAATAGTCTTGTCTGATGGGTGGAGCGTTAGGAGACATCAGAGGAAAATGAGAAACTGGAGATCTCTGAGTGAGAAGGGTGACTGGGAATGGGGCACCAGGACCTGTAAGAACATGCAGAAACTATAAGGGAGAAACGTGACTCTAATTTCCTGCTTTCTTTCAGTGTGTGAGAACTGCAATACGGTTTTTATATAGCGTGACATATATGTATGTATTAAATTAGAGCTCTGTGTTGAGTTGTATTAATCTTGCATGCATAGGAAGGAGCTGCCATGGTGGTGACACCCTCACAAAGTCTTTTTTTTTCTCCCCCAGGTGAATTTGTGTTTTGATCAATTTGTGTACAAGCTGGCAGATCAGATCTTTGCCTATTACAAAGCAATGGCTGGCAGGTAGGAGAACCTGACTGTTAATGACTGAGGATATGGCTACATCCAAATCGCCACTAACCAAAAAGTTCCCTTCAGGGAGCAGCTGCTGCAAGTAAACATGAGATAGATCACCCCTGTTCCACAGAGCTGGCTGTCCCTGTTAGACCAGTGTAGATGGGGCAAATTAATTAATCATGGCAAGGAAAGATAGTTAAAAGTGAAAAACTAATAACTGGCATCCTAAGTAGCTGTCTGAGTACAATTTCTGAGAGCAGCAGAAAAACAAACTGAGCCTACTGTCCTTGCTTGACTTATGTTTTTGTACCAGCCAGATGAGTAGAAGCCCCTCATCTCTACAAAACATGAGTATGCACTTGTCCTCGCCCTAGTAAAGCAGCAGGACTTGTAAAAGCCAGAAGGGTACTCAGTGTCTTAGTTCACACATCAGACCAGTTGACTGTAGGACTTCTGCAGAGTCTTTTGCTCCCTTGTGGAGAGACAGTCCCCTTTTGAAATTTCCTTTTTACCACTTTAAAGAACACAGATGAACTCTAGTGAGAGTCCTCCACTCATGGCCCCAAAGGTGACACAAGATCTGATGTAACTCGGCAAAGAGCTTTGTCTCAAGATTACATTTGGCCTTAGAGGAGGAGACTAGTCACCATCACAGACCAAATGTTCCCAGAGCAGATCTTTAAGGAGGGAGCAGACCTGTGGGACTATCCCAGTGCCAGGCACTAGTGATATTTTTCAGCACAATCTTCTGTCTTTTTTTAATGTTCGAGATGTAAAAGCCAAGACTGATGGACAAGAGCATAGCAGTCCTGAGGTAACAACCACTGCCCTGTGATTTAGTCACACAAACAGAGTTATTAGTATGTGGAAAATTCTTGGCATTCAGAGGAAGGCAACAAGAAGGGTGAAAACAACTCTAGGACAGATCCAGAGAGAAACTGATAATGAGTGTTTCTGTTTTCCTGACACCGCTTCCTTTTTTCAGTGTTTTATTGGACAAACGTTTCCGGGCTGAATGTAAGAATTATGGGGTGATTATTCCATACCCACCATCCAATCGCTATGAAACACTGCTCAAGCAGAGGCATGTCCAGGTACAGTGCAAGCAATAGACTCCAGTACTCATAGCTCTTGATCTATTACTTTTTTGTTGGTGTCTGGCATCCTAGTGCTGGGCTCAAATCAAGGTGGGTGCTGGAATGGAAGAGTTGAACCTGTTTCTGGCACGCTGCGCTCAGGGCATGGGGCCCGAGAGGAAAATGAGTTATGCTCCACATTTCCCTCCTTCCCTCTTAAGTAATCTCAACCAAGGTGTTTGCATCACTGCTTTCAACAGACTTGGATGTTTGGTTTTAATTTGTGTCTGTCAGAGGAAAACAATAAAATGCATTTTCTTCATCTGTATGTAACATGCAAATATGTTTCCTTTTCCTAGTTGCTGGGTAGGTCAATTGATCTGAACAGGCTCATAACCCAGCGTATCTCAGCGGCGATGTACAAATCGTTAGACCAGGCTATTAGCCGCTTCGAGAGCGAGGACCTGACTTCCATAGTGGTAAGAACTGTTATTGAGAGAATAATACACTGGTGTGGATACACAGGCAGCTGTTTCCACCTTCAAGTCCCACCTACATTAGGTTTTAGCCAGCCATGTATTCTCCTTTATGCTGCAGAGTCTCTATTATTTCTATTTATGCAGCTTTAATTGCATTATTATTGGACCACTAAGTTTCTGCATAAATCATAACGTGACAGGCAGCAGTTAGATTTTGCAGAGCTCATATAAGAGAGCCCTGTAACCTGGGAGAAGGAAATCTCTAATTCCCCTGTTGGATGAAGGTGGCTGAGACATCATTTGTCCATGTGCAGGAGTTGCTGTCTTTGGTATGTCACAAGAGCATCAGAGTCAAGTAGTGTAAAATCACCAGTTTCCACCTTTGAAAGGATTCTGATGTGAAAGCCAGTCAGTGCTCAGGGGGGAGCAAATTAATTTTGCTTCCCACAGGTTTAGGAGATGCTGCACCAGGGCTCCCTTTAAGTCGAAGTGCAATTGGCCTTGGCCACTGAGTTCAACTGATGTCTTTAGCAAATGCTAAAGACATCAGTTGAACACATCCTCACCTGGAAAGTTCTGTGTGGGTCTGGATATAAAATAATTCCCCTAGCAATTAAATCAGCTGTTTCTATCATCATCTTGGTAATATGTTGCATTTGCTGCTGCTTTATGCATTGCAGGAGCTGGAGTGGCTCTTGGAAATAAATCGCCTGACGCACAGGTTGCTGTGCAAGCACATGACTTTGGACAGCTTTGATGCCATGTTCCGGGAGGCCAACCACAACGTCTCCGCGCCCTATGGGCGCATCACCCTCCACGTCTTCTGGGAGCTCAACTTCGATTTTCTACCCAACTACTGCTACAATGGATCCACCAACAGGTGAGGAGAAAATGCAAGGCAGGGGGCACCTGGAGATCCCGCTTTCCTTTCTAAAATGTCAAACCTGCCACATAAAATTCACATGCATTGTGGAGAGGTTTTCATTCCCTATGACATGCAACAGTTACAGTTAAAATGTAAGTTAAAGCCCACTAACTCCCCCGGTCTTGAAAATGTTAGTAACAAATTCACTCAACAAAGTTGGACAGTGTTTGTGAGCAGCTGAGCTAGTTTGGTTTAGAGAGTTGGTTTACTGAACAGCAAAGCTGCGGTAGCTACTCCTGTATGGATTTCTTGCCTGCCCCAAATGAGAAGAACCCCCACTTTTGGTAGATTAAACTGATATGGTTTACACCACCAATAGATTGGGGTAGGAGTTTGCATTCCGCTTCGTGGAGCTCAGGTGATGAATTGCTAATGAGGCTGCAACAGTTCATCCCAGGCTGTGCAATTAACTGGGCTCTGGCCACTTTCCTTCCCATCTCCCGTGCCTGCCACAGGTTTGTGAGGACAGCGATCCCGTTCACACAGGAACCCCAGAGGGACAAGCCAGCCAATGTTCAGCCGTATTATCTCTACGGATCCAAGGTCAGTAAATGAGCCACAACAGGCAGAAGGTTGGAAGTATTTATTTAGGAAGAAAGAAATGCAAGAACTAGTTCATTGGTAATATGGCGGGTGCAAATGAGCAAGGTCATGTTGCTGTGTGAAGCCAAAAAGCCATGCAGGAAGCAGACTCAGTGTGCTATTGCTTTCCCATAGTCTTCTCTGTAACATGCCTGTGTTAGGGGGTGCTGACGCTGCTCTGTGCTTGGTGTCGGCACTGAGACCAAGTCACATCCATCTAAATGCGCAGAGGAGAGTGAGTTGGAGCTTCGAAGCAGTGCTCATCCCCACTTCAGGAATCCCATTTGTAGTTCGAAATGGGAATTGCTAAAATACTTGTGTGTGCAAATACAGACTACTTAACACTGACAAAAAGCTCTTTTGTCAGACTGTGATGACTGTTTATACAGGCATTATGAGAGCTTGAGGTGTGATGCTAATGGAGGATTGCTCAAGTGTGAAAGTACTTGAGTGGAGTTTGTTTCTTGTGCACATTGATTGGTGACTCTGAAGTGAACCTACAGCACTGATGCAGATTAGCTAATGACACTACAGTTGACCGAGCCTAGCCTAGCCGTTCCCAGAGAGCTGACTTGGTTTCTTTTTAAAAAACCCACAGCAAATGAGAATATTTTTGTCACTTGACAAAAATCTTTCTCCCTGTGACCAATGTCCCCATCTCATGTTCTACCCTGGGACAAACAGCCCCCATGGACACGCAGACAGTGCTGTTGTCAAGAGCTGGGAAAGAGCAACACAAACCAAACCTCTAAGCAGGGTCTCCCTTTATTTTGCTCTCACTGAAGGCCGTGCTGCGGCAAGATGGCCCTTTTATCGTCGCTGGTTTTGTAGGAGAAAAAGCAGTGCGGGGAGCTTTGCGGACTCTCCATCATGAAACTGGAGCTCCTCATTAGCACAGTGGTCATGGGGACTTCCAGAAGCTCTTCTCTCAGTCTGTCATTTAGTGGCCCCTCCGGCGAGCCGCTCCCTTCACCCGCTTCTTCAGGGCTGTTGTCAGGATGCTTCAGCCTCGCAGCCCGGTGGCACCGCGCCGACCAGAACTGCAGGCAGCCGTAGGCCAGGAGAGCAATGAAGCAGAGGAGCAGCAGACTGCTCACCATCCACATGGAGGTGGTAGGTTCGTGCTTAGAGCCGCCGAAAACCAGGGGGGTTTTGTTCAGGGTGTGGAAGGTGGTGCAGTGGTTGCTGGAGGGGTAAGAGTTCTTGCATGTGATGCAGAGGACGTAGATGGTGGATGGAGTGAGTCGGTGAAGGACAAGGGAGCTGAGGGGGTGAGGAACTCGCTCCTCACGGTGGAAGTTTGGGCGTAAATAGCCAGCAAAGACACTGTTCCAGTTGGGGCGGTACATGACGTGGTAGTAGTTCTCTGGACAGGGGTTGTTCATGGCCCAGGAGATGGTGGCGCTGGTGTAAGTGATGTTGTGCACTTCGATGTTCATTGTGCCCCTGAAACCAGATGCGAGGAGAGGCTGAGTTTCCCGATTTGTGTACAGGCTCAAAGGCCACTGACATCACTGAAGTCTTTCCACTGGCTTTAGATTGGACTCGGGACTATGCCTGGCTAGCTTAGATTAGATGCTAAGTCTTAGATGGCTAAAGTTATAAAAGGTGAGCCCTGCTGGGGCCCAAACTACTGTATCACCCTGCTTTGTAACAAAAAAAAGTGACTGTGACATAGAGCATATTTTACACTCTAAACAGATTTTTTTAAAAATATCTTCTGACTAGTTGTCTATATAGGAAGCTTTTTTAGCTTTTTCTGTTTCCCATGGAACTGAAAGGATACTGCAAGTGTGATTAACATAAACTACCTCCAACTTGCCTTGTCAAACTGCCAATAGGTGTTTTGATTTTTATATCTAAATGCCATCTAAAAAGCCACAACTATTAATACACTGATTTAAGTTTTTGCTGCATTTTCTGTACCTTACTTGTTCCTTAATAGAGGATAACCTCCTTCTGTTCCTGCAGCATCTCACACTGTAATATCAGGATCTTAAATGTGAAATCTGAAGGTTGGTGAAATATAAAATCAGTGCCTTTAGGGAAACACAAATATACGAACATTGAGTACAAAGCTATCCTCCAGATAAAAGACGCTGACCAATAACAAATTACTGTTTAGTGACAGCCACAAATCACTTCAGTACATCGCTCCTTTAGATCCCCAAAGTGCTCTCTGAGCCTTCACGCAGGGTTATCTCTCCCAGCCAGCCGAGTGCTCCGAGTGAGAGCTGCATGCAATAGAACCTGTTTCTTTTTCCTTTCTTCCTCTCCCTTTCACTATATCTAACTTCCTTTTAATTCACCCAAGAGCCAGCTCATCTTAACAACTGTTTCAACCATTCATTAATGTGAAGAGTGGAACAGCACGCATGCGCCCATCACTGAGCCCTCCCAGAGCCCCCTTACCTCCCCGAACAGGTCCGCGGTGGCCCCGTCGGTGCTGGCGAGCAGCGTGGCCACGGTCGGGCAGTGCCTTCCCCGCTTCCCTCCGCTTGCCTCCCTCCTCCTGCCTCTGCTGAATCCCTTGCCCGCGCGCTGCCTCGTATTATTATACCCGTCTGGGGCTCCGTCATCTCTCACCATAGCAACCGATAAGAAAGGATGGGCAGGCATCTTTGAGTGATTTGGGAATGTTCATCCCTAAAAGCTTCTGCCTCAGAGAAGTACGTCTCCGAGGCAGAAAAAACAAGCCAGGTAGTTTTGTTGGCTGGCTCATTTGGATTAGTTGGGGTTTTCTTTTTTTTCTGCTGTCCGCTGTCCCCCAGCAGGGTCTGGGGTTAGAGACACATGGGCACATGGTATAAAATCCGGGATCCTGGCCTGCAACACATGCTTTAGCACTCAGGGGCTTTGTCTTTAATTCTGTGATTTCTTGCATGTTTGAAATCCTGATTTAAGCCAAAATGTATCTGAGAGAGGATCCTTCCCAGAAGAGATGTTTGTTCTGGTTCTGGAGTTACTCATTCCATGTCTTTCCTGCAAAGGTGCTTGCAGCGTTTTGAAGATCTTCTGAATATCAACATTGATGGGATGATGCATCATGAGGAGCTATTACAAGCCTGGGGAGTATGTGTGACCCTTGCTTTTGTTTTACATTTTGCAGTTCTGGGTGCTTTGGTTTTATCTTCCAAGATTTGCATTCCTTTCTCTCTCCGTGAGTGAGCTGTGGCTGCCAGCAAGCTGAAAACTGGGAGCAGAGATTAAAATAATTATGGGCAGGAATGGAAATGAAAGTGCTCCCAGGTGGCTTCCTGCCTTTTGTGTGGCTCAGTCCTGCTTATGAGAGCAGGGGCTAGAGAGCTCTTAGCTGGTCCCATGCTGTGAGTAAAGCACATGCTTGTGTGAGGGAAGAGAGCTGAGGATACAAATCTGCGCTTCGGCAAGGTGGATTACATACACGAGGTGGTAACGTTTTTTGGGAGAGAACTGCTTTCTTACAGCACTTGGGTTGTTATCAGTGTTCACAGTTGCTTTGAAATTACCTTCCAGCTGTTCACAAGTAAGATTTGTTAGCAGGAAGAGAGAAAACCAAGGAATAGGCCTGCAAAGGGTCCTAATGACCTTTCAGCGTGCCCTGATCAATACTGCTAGCATAAAGAAAACTGCAGAAAAACTTACAGTGGTGTTGGTGTTACCTGCTAACAAACTCAGTTGACACTGAGGATGAGCTTGAAATTCTTGTTTCCCAGGATGAAAGGATGCCAAAACCATGCCAGTGCCAGGACTGCTCCAGCACTGCTGTTCCCATGTCTGTATGGGGACCTGTAGGATGCAGTGGCCAGCAGAAACCGACCCATTTTCTGTCATTCATCCATTTATAAAACACAGCAGGTTGCCAAGTCTCCAACAAAGAGCTGCAAAATTACCAGCAACCCACTATTTACTGCTCATTAACCATTTGTTAGCTCTGTAAATGCTTTAGATTGGGCTTTGCTTATGCATTTTTCAGGAGTGCTTCTGTTTTTCTTGGCACTGCTGGACCCAGGGTCATGCCAGACTTACTGCAAATCCATTTCCCATTCCCTGGTTGAATTTGCTGCCTTACCCCTCCTTTTTTTAATGAGCACACAGGCAGATGTAACCTGAAGGACAGTGTATGCTGCCGGTGCTTGTAAAAATAGTTACGGCGTGTGAATGAGATGGAGCTGCTCTATTTTCTGCAGCAACAGCACAAAGGCGTGAAGGAGCTGTGGTTGCTGCAGGAGGTGTTGGCAGCGGGGGCTGCTGATCCCCTCCAGCCAACGACGTGGGCTGTGCTACCTGGCCTGCCGTGGCCATTGGCTCATTACAAATAATAACAGTATATACAGTCCCTGAAAATCAGTAGTTGGTACAGTGAGGCATTATGCTGACACAGAATATACACAGACACAGTGTAAGTACCATACATTTTTTGTACGTGTCCTGCCCATCCCAGCTAGGGAATATGTTTGGGGTTTTTTGCATGGAAGCAAATCTTAGCAACCATCTGATACAGCTGAATATGGTAAAAGCTTTATGTGGAGAGTGAAGGTTGCTTGTGACCGGGTAAGGAACCAGACTATATTCAGGCTGTCTGACTTAGACAATTCTGGCCAGAATTGTTTTTCACTTTCTAAGATGCCACCTCAGCTGTCACACTAAATTGGGTTGGCTAGCAGCCTAGGACACTAGTCTTGGGCTGTATGCAAGTCCTTTTTTGTCTCTAAGTATATTGCTCCTTTTTTAGCTTTTCATTTTTCCAAGGGGAGTTCTGGCACAGGCAGTATTATCTATTACCTCTCTGTGATCTATTTTATCAGTTCAAACTCCCTGCCTCCCCTCAAGGTGAGCCTAGACAGGTCTGAGTGACAGCCAGCAACAAGCTTAAAGACATGGAAATGACAAGTGGGTTTTGTTTTGCTTCATTTGCTCCTGAATCTGCTCTGGAGCATCCCTAGGAACCTCCTAAGCTCCCAAAGCGATGTGGGGGCCTTCCCCACATGCTCCCAAGTACAGATGCTGTCCTGGGCACCTGGGTGCACAGTGAGACACTGGGAACTCTGCCCAATGCTACAAATCCCAGCCTGCCTGCACTCCCAGCCTCCTGGCCCCCAAACCTGCCCATTTGGCCCCAAATGAAAGGTGGGGCACACTTCCCCAGTATCTTTGGCAGCTGCTGCTCCCAGGAGGCAGCGAGGTCCAAGGAGGTGGAAGTGGCTGCCCAGCACGGGGGAGTGAACCGTGCCATGCAGCCAGCTTGTACCTTCAGCTGTTTTCTCTTAAAATACCCACTGGTGTCATTTTTTACATCCTACAATCTCTACCCGAAGCTGTGTATCTCACCCTTAAATGGAGTGGTATTTTTAATTGCTGGCAGAGTATTATTATTAGATGTGAGCCTGCTGCTAATGCGCTGTGTGGCTCTGCTCAGAGTTCGGTGAATCCACCTCATCTTGCAGACAGGCGGGGATGAATCATCCTGCTCACTTGCAGCACGTCCTAAAATGTATCTTCTCCCAATCAGGCTTATTGCCGAGACCCTCACTGGAGGGAAAAGCGGGCTTGAAAGCTGCTCTCCACCTTATTATCCCGCCGAGATGCAAAAGAGTGCTGCGAGGTGGGCGGCAGCACCAGCCACTTGCTGTCCGTACAGCGAAATGTCACCTCCATTATGGGGAAAATCTGACCAGTTACTCCATAACTAGGTACCGGTGGTCACCTGTCTCAGAGGATCATGGCATTGGTGCAGACAAGACCTATCTTCTAGTTGTGGAGTAGCAAAAGGCTTCTGGAAGTGAGTGTGGCTTCATGAGCCCATTGAAGTGTTCCAGGCTGGGCGTTACCTGGTGTTAAAACAGACACACCTTCTACAACACAAACTATTGCTGCTTTTCACGTGTGTCGGCATGTGTATCTAGTAGCTTTGATCACTCTCTACCAAATAGTTTTCTAAGGATGCAGATAGAAGCCTGAGCAGGATGCTCAAATGCCATTCTCCTAACAGGAATTGGCAACCAAGGAGCTTTGAAAGTAAGCTTCTGTCTGCCTAAGTAATTTTTTAACTCTGCTCTCTACTTACTCAGGGCTCTTGTGTTTAGTTTTGATTGGGAGCGAACGTTCATGCTCGTTGTGAATGCATGCACTAGAGAGCCTCCAAGGGAGCCTTTCTGTACATAATAGCATTAAAGGGTTTTCTTCACCTACCAGGACATGAAATCATATTCCACAGAAAGTAGGAGACTTTTTAATTGTGTCTTTCTGCTAGCTCTTTCAAAGAGCACCTTCCAGTAGGCAAGAAGCTGCTGGACCAGAGAAGTGGGGCTGTTAGAAAAACAACTGACAAGTCTATGAAAGCACGCTCAGTAAATCAGTCTGATGAAATTCTGTATCAGAGAGCAAAAGAAAATACTTTTTGTATTCTCATTAAAGGACTTCACTTCGTAACTTATTAGTAACTCCAATGAAGTGTTAAAGTAAATCTCGAGGAAGCGAGTCAGAACTGGAGGACAACTGAAGCCTTCAGCTGGCTGTGTTGCCACTGCTGGGAGCAGCAGTGTTGGAGGACAGACAACATTTTATCCTGTTCTACTACTTCAGCACTTGCTCCCTTTCACCCTCAGCTCCTCAGTGCATTGGTCTCTCTGCTCCCTTGGCTCCATTCCTGGCAGGGAAGGGAATCCCAGCAGAGTGGGCTCTGCAGTACTGCAGGGGAGCGAGCTCCCTGCTGCGTGAGGGTGCAGCGTGCCTCTGGTGTGCAACATTCCTGGAAATCACTTTCTGTTTTCTGCTGCTAAATATTTTGGGAGGCCAAAGCCCTAGGTACTATTCTCCCTCAACCAGGGTTAGATTCTTTCCCTTTCACAGTCCCGTGGGGATGTCTGTTAAGTGCAGAGGCTGATGTAGAGCTCTGCAAGATGCGGAAAAGATCTTTTCTGTGTCTCTTCCAACTGCACTTAAGCTCAGGTGCTGTAGCTCCTACTTTTCTTAATAAGCCTCATTTAAAGCAAGTGCCTATAGAAAAAAAAAATGTCTGGTTAATTGTATGTAAAGCTTTACGCTGAAGTAGAGAAGAATTGGGGTTTGAGGAGGCAAAGGGTCAGTAAACTTAAATTCTTGATTGGGAATGTACAGAAGAGTAAATTACCTTGGAAATGAAAGTGGTATTGCTACATAGCAGGATAAAAAACATCGTGATATGACAGTGTGTTGAGATTAAAACATATCTGACTATGTAGGAGGAAAAGCAATCTCCTCTTTACCACAGTAAGTAGAAGAAATGAGAATTGTCATGGGTATTATTATTTCTTCTTTTCTTCCTTAAAAAACATTTAAAGTGATGGAACATAATGCTGTGATAAGAGAATTACTTACAGATCTGGTAAATGCTCCTGTCTAACTGTCATTGTGCTTCTAATTTCTTAGCCTCTCAACATTGCCTATAGTCACATCTATAGCTCGTACCGCAATTTTGTGGGGCCTCCTCACTTCAAGACAATCTGCAGGCTTCTTGGCTATCAAGGCATCGCGGTAGTCATGGAAGAGCTGTTGAAGATCGTCAAAAGCCTGGTAATTCTGAGCCTAACCCTGGTGACAGAGAAACCTTGATGCCTTGAGAGGCACAGGTTGGACAGTCAGCCTGGGCTTTGGGTTCAAGGTGTTCAAATCTGGGCACCTTTATGCCCCTTGATCCACACTGAAACACTTGTATTAACAGCCTGATTTTCACTGTTGTTGAGGAATCCCACTGATTCCTGTGGGATGGTGGAGTGTTTCCACCATTGCGAAGTGTTAGCTGTGATCAGCCACCTATGTCTGGGGGTGGTGGAGCTGACATGACATGCTGCTTTGCTAAAAGCCACTGGGACGTGATCGGGTGGGATGTGGCACTCACGGTGCCACAGCACTACCTGTACTGCAGTCTGGGAGACCTTCAAGACATGCTCTGCAGAGCACTCTGTCTCATCACCTTGTGATACCCCTGGAGAGCTGCAGGAAAGTAAAAAGCAGGCAGTAAAACTGATGAAAAAAACTTTTTGAGTCTTTACAAGAAAACTTCTGCTGTAGGTGAGTCCCTATTCAAGCCCTGCTGTCTGTTTCTATCTGAAGCCAGGCTGCCAATAGTCCTGTCTGCTTTCTAGTTCTCTTCTTTTTCAGAGGAGAAATATATTGTCCACAGGGAAATGATCCCATATGCTCCCCAAGGACTCTAACAATACCGAACATTAAGAAGGAAGGAGAGAGAGAGAGTGTGGAAAAATGTGTAATTTCTCAGGTCGTGCTTTTCTACTAAAATCCGTGCTTTACTGGAAAGACAATATTCATTCATAATAAATATTTAAATTCTTTTGTGACTGCAATGACATCATTTTGAACTTGTCTAACAAAGCAGTGTAAAACTGAAAATCTTAAGTGTATATCCAGTTTTCCTACTGTAAAGCACCTGTAAAGGGTTACTGAAGATGTAATTTGTGTCACTTAGTTGAAAATACTGCAGCTGGTGTGTGAGATCAGACAGCATTCAGCACAAAGACAAACATTTTATATATGGCTAAACAGTGTTTAGTGCATAATCCCATATAATGTATCTACAGGATGCAGGTGTATAGCTCCAAATGACAGCAAGCACTTTTAACTAAGAAATATACTCTGCTCTTGTCCGTATTAGTTCAGAACATCAGATCTGCAGAAACTTGTTCTACATGCATGTAAATTCTTTTTTTATTAATTCAGAGTATCTGGTGATCATTCCTCAGGTGGAAAGAACATTTCCTGTGCTGGGGAATGACTCCTTTAGCAGCTGTGGTGAAACGCTTTTTGGGTTAGGAGCACAAGTCCAGCTGGAGCTAAGACTGAGCCTTGTTTGGATTTCAGCTGCAAATAATGCAAACACAGCAAGCTCTATTTTGAAGTTGAAAATCCATGCAGCTGTGATTTATTATTTAGGAGGAAGCTGTAAAAGCGCTCTTTGGTCCATACACTTGGGCTGAATTTTGTATTTGGGTGAAATCCAAATTGAGCAAGTTCTTCTTGGACTCCAGCTGAAATTTCATACTGTGCTGTCAGATGTGGGCCCATCCACAACCAGCCTCTTTCAAAGCCAATGCCAGGAGAAGCCGTCATTCCGGTTTAACCTCCCTTTGTCTCTGACAGCTACAAGGCACCATCCTGCAGTATGTGAAGACTCTGATCGAAGTAATGCCCAAGATATGCCGCTTGCCAAGACATGAATATGGCTCTCCAGGTGGGTGCTACTGAGAGATGCTTGAGCAAGAGCTCGCCTACGTCTCAGTACAGCATTTACCCAGGCATACAACATGCCAGGGCAAAATGCAGGCAGGCTTGCCAAAATACACTTTTAGCTGCTTTGCTGTTGACACTGGAACATGTATAGGAAACTTTTCCAGGAAGTCTCCCACTGGAAGTTTCCCTCTGAATACACAGATGTCTGATAAGGGAACATCTTCTGATAGCTTCTGTTTTGCTTTCAGGATTTGGTAAGCTTTTATTATGGTGGGTTTACTGATGTTTTTCAGAAGCTCTGCTTAGTGGATGCAAACTTCTTTTTGCAGCACGACGGCAGCCTGCCGTTGAGCTGGATGGGGAAACTGGCTGGTATACATGAGCCAGCACCAAGACATCCATTAATCTGGAACCTCTTTTATCCTCTAATGAAGAAATCTAAGGACTTCATATGAATTACTCCCTATTTCCCAAGGGTTACTGAAAGCAGGATAAGACACCACATGCTAGTTCTCCTCAGTGCCAGTCTCCATCTATCCATTTAGCAGTTGCAGCTTGCAATTTGTAATTAAGGAAATAGCAGGCACCAATTGTGTTTTTACCCAAGTTATTGGAGGGTGATTCTTCTCTCACTTTTCTGACTGTCCTTCCTTGTCTTTTAAGGAATCCTGGAGTTTTTCCACCATCAGCTGAAGGACATCATTGAGTATGCAGAGCTGAAGACTGACGTGTTCCAGAGCCTCAGAGAAGTGGGCAATGCCATTCTCTTCTGCCTTCTTATCGAGCAGGCTTTGGTAAGGCAAAACCCCCTGCACCAACAGAGCGTACTTGAAATTGCCAGCTCAAGAGTAGAAGTGGAAGTGGGTCCTCCAGCAGAAGAGTTTGGGAAATGCTACTTTCCAGCTTCTGTGCTGAGGGTCTCTCTGGGGCTGTTACTGGGGTCTGTGGGCATGTCCCTGGGGATGGCGTGCATTGGTGCTTGCTCACTGTCGTCTGGGATTGCTGAAGGAGAATCTGAATACTGGAAGATCTAGATTTAATTCTTGAACCCAAAGCTACCCCTTGTACATCCTTCTCGGAAATAAAACCAATGGAGCTTATTTCTAGATTGTAAGCTCTCTGGGGCAGGGATCAGTACATTTTCATATACATAGTTGTGCCATGAGAAGTAGGTTTGACCCTTTTACTCTTTTGGGGTGCCAGTGCAATGAAAAAAAAACTAATTGATTCTAACGGTGATAAGGAAAAAGTAATCCAACAGGAAGGGAATCTCACAAGAGATGATGATATATTTCCTGTGACTTATCTTCAGTGAAAACTTAGCTGGAGTGATGACTTAGTATTGCCCCCTGCACAAGTGTTTTGCATGTGCATGAGTCTCAGCTTCTCAGCTCATGTGGCGCCCTTTCTGGTATGGGGGAAAGGCTATGGCTGCGTGCCACACAGCTTCTTAGCTTCTAGTTTTTCACACAATAAATTTATTTCATAATGAATTTATCTCACAGTTTGGCCTAGACCCAACTGAGGAATGTTCAACAACACATTTTAACATTAAAAAACACATATTTCATGTCATAACAGTTGTGGCAGGGTTGTTTCAGGTTTTCCAGAAACATTTCAGAAAGCCTTCTCTAGCATAAAACGAGATTTCCAAGCAAAGCCAAAAAGTTTTGTTCAGAGCAAAAACAGAAGGAAATTCAAAGATTCCAAATTTCGTCCAACCACAGAGCACAGTGAAATCTAAAATTCTCTGCATGTCCTCAGAATGGATATTTCTGCACTTGCCTTTGCATTATAACCCCAGATATAGACACTTTTATTTTCTAATGTAGTGTAGTGCATCAAACATATTCGGTAAGCAGTGGTTGTGTAAGATTAAGAAAACTAGATAAATGTATATCACCTTGCAGCTTGGCTTTATTTTATAGAATGACCAGAGTTGCCAGCTATATCCTGACAGTTTCTGTTCTTTTTGTGGCTTTGTCACTGGTTTCTGCTATTCTCAGTGTTGGATTTTATGCTGGATGTACTGCACTTGCCTTTTCTGTCCCATCTTTAAATGGACACTTAATGGACACCTGGTGATTTCTTTTAAAAATCCTTCATTTCAATGTGAAAATGTTCTCCTTCAGTCCCAGGATCTGTACATCAGCAGAATATTGGCATTTTAGAATAGCAGAAAATAAGGGAAAGAATACGGCGAGAATTTGGGGGTCTCTTTAGGAAGGCTGCCCATCAAAGTCCACATCTGCCCACTTTCCATGCCAGCCTCAGTCTCTCCTCTGATTCCCTGATTTTCCACACAGAAATAGATTCAGAAGATAAAGCCTTTTTGCACACAAGGGGCACTGGTTCTCACTCGCTGGAAGATGTCAGATGCATAGAGCCATCACATAACAAGATTTCCCCTCTAATGGAGCTCTTGTGCAGCAGGCGGAATTGCTTTTACGGTGCAGTTATCTTAATAGCTGTCAGAATGATCTCAGGCTGGTGGTATTTGCTGGCAGGGCCTGCTCTAGTGAAGATGTGCAGTCTGCTCCATCCCTACCCCCCTTTTATTGTTTAAACCTGAGGAATGAGGAGTTGCTTGAGACTAAATTTCTAATCAGAATTCTTACTGTCATGTAACGGGCCTTGAGGAGGAGATCTATTAATAACATGATTAATTTAGTAACAGGTGAACACAGGTGGCAAATGGTGAAAATGCTCTCTTTATCAGAGGCAAACAGCAGAGAAAGAACGTTCATCTAGGAATTAACAGTGCTTTGCAAGCAAAATGACCAAGGGGCAGGCACACTCTGTTAGTGTCAGCATCTCTCTGCCCATGGAGGGACCCTGGACTGTCCCTCCAGCACTGTGTCACAAACTGCACTCCCACAAACTCGCTCTCATCCCAGCATCCATGCGCCAGCACAGCCTCCTGCAGCTCCATGCTACACTGTCCTCGCCCTCTTGGCTGGAAGGGTGGGGTATCCACCCGTGCATCCCAAACAGACCCAGCCGAGTCATTCCATCTGGCCCCCAAATATCTTTCGCTGCGCTGTCATGACCTGTTTTTGAGTGTGTCTGAATTTCTACAATAAGCTCAGAACTGAAAGCATGTCCTAGAACTGGACTTTTGTAGGAGCAAACTAATGCCTTGTTGTGACGCGATGCCTCTGTGTTAAACAGCTTTGGTTTCCTTGCTGCTGTTTCCCATTGCAGACTTGTATACAGTGTATTGTCAGCCATCACTCCTCAGTCTCCACCTGCCTATTTCTAGGTTTCTCCTCCTTGTGCATCTGTGTTTGGGATTATTTTTTCTCAAGTGCATTGGCATGCATTCTCTCAGGTGGCATCTCATGATGTTATTTCTCTCTGGACTAATGTATTCTTCCTGGTGCCTACACCACTGGGACTCTGGTCTGATAGCCTTGGCTGAGAACGCCAGGTGAACAACCAAATAATTTCAGACCAGCATAGTACCTACCTGCTTGCTTTTACATGTACACATCCTAAAATAACTAAGCCAAAGGGTAATTTCCACCTGGGCACTCTCTGTAAAAATAAACAGCAGGAAGTCATCAGAGTCAGATGAAACTGAAATCTCCATGTTCTTTATCTCCTCTTACTGGCAGTGCTAATAAGTGGGACAGAAAATAAATATAAAGCTCTGGCCTTGTACAGACAGGAAATAACTTGAGTTAAGGAAGCTTCGTGGCTTAAGTCAAGAGATATTTCTTCCAGTTTCAGTTCAATTAGGTTCAAACCACTGGAGTTGCTGCTGAGCTGGGTTGGATTTGAATAGGTGCCATAGACATGAACTGTTAGAGTGTTGCCCAGGCCCCTGAGCCATACACTCAACCCCTGTAGGTATTTTTTAACTTACTTTATCTTTCTTTCTTCCTGCCTCAGTCCCAGGAAGAAGTTTGTGATTTGCTGCATGCTGCTCCCTTCCAAAATATTTTGCCCAGGGTCTACATCAAAGGTAAGAAGCTGAGAGGGAAACAGTGGGCAGACTCAGAGGTCTCTGCCCAGAAGCTGTTTCTCTCCCATTTCTGCTGAGGATTAGTTCTGGCCCTGCTTCCCCCTCGAAATAGATAAGTGGATACAGCCAAAAGGCAGGTGGAAACAAATGCCAAGGGTGCATTTTCTGTAGCCTAGTTGTAGACTGAAACCTCAGTCAGCCTGGGGGTTCCCTTAAGGTTTTAAAGCCGTTTCACAGCCTCTTTGGAGAATGACAGCATGAAATGTCCATCTCAAAACAGGAGTGATCAGTAACAGGGACATGCTTTTGGACATGTGTGATTAAGCTGCTGCTGAGACTGCAATCGCACATCCTTCCCTTCTCTGCATCACTGGTTCCCTCATTTGCTGTTGGTTTGGCTCGCTGGTCCGAAGTCTCATTGGATGGTTGCTGGGGGGCAGCTCTGAGCAAACTCGGCGGAAATTGCGGGTCTTCACTTCCTCCTCTCATTTCACTGTTTGCTGCTCGCTTGACAGAAGGAGAACGCTTGGAGGTGCGCATGAAGCGTCTCGAAGCCAAGTATGCCCCACTTCACCTGGTTCCCTTAATAGAGAGGCTGGGCACTCCGCAGGTAAGGATTTCATTGAAAGGGATGGCTGTTGAAAATTCATAGCAGTCCCCAGATGGCCTGTTTGGCCTTGGGAAAGTGATCCTATTTATTTTTTATGTTTTTCAAAACATCAGTCAGACAAGAAAATCAGAATCCTTGCCCTAGCAGACACTTTGAAGGGAAATTTGTGAGTGGGTCCATAGATGATCTGTTGTCGCTTCCAGTCTGGAGAGCTGGCAGGGAGCTGTAAGGCAAGTGTGCTAGAAGCCAGCTCTGAATAAGAACAACTCTGAAAAGCTCTTCTCCATTTTTAGAAGATGGAGGATTGCTGGGGTGGATTGAGTGGAAACTTTGTAGGGCTGTCCCTGGCTTATCAATTGCCATCACTTTTGGGGATCCCATTTTAGAGCTGCAATATGTTCCATTTTTAAGCTCATCCCTGTCAAGGAATACACATGAGAATGGTTTTCCTCCTAGCACATGCTTAGAGCTTCAGCACATGCTTAAAATTATGGCTCCATTTAAGTGTCTTCTTGAGGTGAGTCTCAGCTTGGAAAAGATCTCCTGTACAGAAATTGAGTACTGTTAAAAGTAAATCCATACACTGATGAATGTAATGGGCAAAATTTGAGCTCCAGTGATGTCAAGAGCCAAGCTTCCATTGCCTACTTAGCGGGGTTGATGGGATAAAAATCATTCAAAGTACTAAATGAATCAACATCCTTTTTCTGTAATGTACTGCCAAGGGAATGGGACAAACAGTTGCATGAGGTGACAGGTCTGCAGCAGGCAGAAAGTTGTTGATTTTTTTTCTTGTTTTTCTGATGGATCAAGGACATTTTGAACTTTGCTTCACTGGAAATCAGACGAAACAAAGAAATTGGCTGGATAACGTGAGGGCTTTGTCTTACTTTGTAGACACTTCTCTCACTTCCCATTGACTTCCTTTTAAAGGAGACACTCGAGAAAAAGAATTCACCTCTGTGTTTTTGTGTCTTTGTGTTGGTCTTTCTATCTCTCTTTCCTTCCATGCAAAATCATCATTGAAATCTGCTATTAGAGTCCACTTGTTGCTTATCCCTGCTGTAGTTATGATGATGATGAAAACAAAAGGTATTTCATGTCCTGCTAAAAATTATTTTTTTCCGTAAACTGTTCCCATATTCATCACACAGGTACAGTTGATTACCAGATCTTTTTTGAGCTCAGATTTAAGCTAACACAAGAATCACTTTCTATAGCTGCCTCCATAGCTTCTAAGCTTGCTCCTTATGCAGTTTTGGACATGCATTTTGGAAATGCAGTTTTGGACACAGGCCATATGGGATTTTTTTCCTGCAGAAATGCATAAGTGCCAGAATCTGAGTAGAAGTTGCCTGCTAGATGCTTCTCCCAAAAGATGGCCCTATGCATTCCATACAATTACATGCTGTGACGGGGCTGAGCCAGAGGCTGCTGTTAGTGGGGATCTGTCAGTCTTTGCAGGCTTCAGGTACGGTTCTTGCAATCTTGCCAGTTAACAAGCCGTAAAAGAGCTATGGCACAACTGGGTTTGTGCTGTGGCAGGAAAACTGTAGGTGGTTGTTCCAAATAATTGTTTTGCATTGAAATCCAGAAGCAGCTGTTTGATAGGTGATTCATAAAGAACCAGGGCATCAAAGTGGTCCATTAAAGGAATCCTCTGTGATTTTTACAGGTGCTTGGTCAGTCTGAATTTTTCCCCTGGAAGTAATGGGAACCTTTCCTTTTGAACACGGAATAGCTGAGCCAGCACAGTGGCACCCTTTGACAGTTTATCGCCAGAGCACCCATCTCTACTAATGTTAGAAATCAGTGAGACCCCAGACCGTGGGCCAAATCTGGTCATGAGACTAATATCTCTCCAGCTGCCTTCACCATGTTAGGTGTCTACCCAACAGTAGTAGTCCCGTATCTTATGGCCATGGATTTTAGATCCAAATTCTGCCTGTGAATGTGCATAACTGAGTGGTGCTACATCCTTTGAGAGCCAGATACATCCCTTTCTAGATTAAGATTTCTTCAGAAAGAGCATACTAAGATCATTGGTTCTCAAAAGTGCCTATTCTGTTACTATATCTTAGCAAACAGTAATGCTAACACCTAATTTATATTGAAAATTACTTTACTTGTACTGTTTCTCCATTTTGCCATGATAGGTTGGTGTATGCAGATGCTAATCTGTGCTCATAAGAACTTGGAGCAGTTGAGAGAGAAAGCGTATAGCCTTTAGCTATAAAAATAAGCTGGATAAAATAAATCTTTACTTACTAAGCAAACACATGCAAGTGTGTGCCATGAAACCGCCGATACCATTCCTGCACTTAAAACATCTACAAATCCCAGACCCAATCTGGCCTCTGCACAGCACAGGTATTTGCTATTAGTTGAACATTAATTGATCTGAGGATCCCAGAATGTCCTTGAAATTGTGGCCCAAGCAGGAATTGTATCACTTCTAACCTCAATAGCCACCAAACTAAAAATGTTTTAAATTACTGCCAGCATAAACTAAGAGTCAGGAAAGGGGATGTGCAGGCACTTTCATTATTTTTTTTAGAGTGGACTAAAGATGACTCAAGTAAACTAAGCCTAATTCGTGTTCTTAATGTCTGGCCAGGACGTGTGCCTGCCCCTTGTACCAGCTGCTCTAACCCCCATCATGGTGCTGATCAGGATGACATTTTTATAGGCACTACTGGAACAGTTGGAAGTGGAGCAAATGCTTAAAACTTCTTAAAGCTCCAGAAAGTCCTCTGGGAGAGGCAGGGTTCAGTAAATGTCACACTTGCTCTGCCTGCCTCTGCTGAAGTGGTGAGAGGGGCGAAAGGCTCTGCCTGCAGGGCCAGGGCACGGTGGCAGCCACGCATCTACCGGGACAAACACCGCAGAGCTGGAGCCTCCCACACCATGGGCACGACTCTGGCAGCACTCGGCTCCCTCTGCCCGTGTTATTTTTGGCAGTGCTGCAAAGAAGTCAGGAATGCTGCTGGAAGTGGCAAGAAATGGGGGAGCTAAAAGGGTATCAGGGCAACGAGCAAACGCCACGTTTGCACCCCAGCCCCACTCAGTGAGCTCAGTGCTCCCATGCCGAGGGGCGGCACTGCTTGCTTGCTTAAAATCCTCTTTTTTCTTTTATCTGGGGGAGCAATGGGGCTGAAATGAAGTCAACTCTCTTCTAATTTTCCTCTACTCTAAAAGCCAAATGAACTCCATCCAGCAGAGTCATTCCAGACTTGTACATGTAAATCTGAATGGGGAAAATTCTCCACACATGTAAAGCTTACACATCTGGAAAAAAAAGTATAATTTGACTCTCTTATAAACCACAGGTTTTCCAGTATTAAGGTTCTGGTGACTTCTCATCTAGCTCAGACCTACCTTTTTAACCCTAACTACAAAAGAAATCAGAAAAGTCGTAGGCTATCTGCATTTTAAAGAGATGATGGCAATGTCCTCGGAAGCAAAATGTCCCTGTTCTCTTGTGGTTTATTTTCTTAATCTGCAGAAATCATGAAAAACCCAGCAACGCTGAGTAGGACTAATACAACAGTAACAGCATGCTAGCAGAATTAAGGATCAGTATTTCTGATCAGAGCTTTGCCTTCAACTTTTGTTTTCTGACGTACGCAGTTATTTCAAAAGACGCTTAGATTGGTGAAATATAATTGAGCACAATATTAAGTCTTCTTCTGTTTGAGGGCTGAGTTTTCTCTGGTGGGGAGTGCCATGGGAGCAGCCATCAGAGGTAAGGTTGAACCTTGCATGGGATGCGTGTTAACTTTGAAAGAGCCGGGGAGACCGGGAAGCATTAAGCCCAGAGAGAGGATCCGTCTGTATTACATCATCACTTCTGTTTCTTTGGTTGTCCTCCTCCTCCTCAGCAAATAGCCATTGCCCGGGAGGGTGACTTGCTGACCAAGGAGCGGTTGTGCTGTGGACTGTCCATGTTCGAGGTGATCCTGACACGAATTAGGAGCTACCTGCAGGACCCCATCTGGCGTGGGCCACCCCCGACGAATGGTGTCATGCACGTGGACGAATGCGTGGAGTTTCACCGGCTCTGGAGTGCCATGCAGTTCGTGTACTGCATCCCTGTGGGCACCAACGAGTTCACTGCAGAGTGAGTGTCTCTTAGCTGGCTCTGTCGTTAGGGCCACTAGCGAGCTAGCGGGGCCAGCAAGCCCCTGGGATGCCCTCAGCTGCAGCGATAGCTCAGCCGGTGTAGAGGGAGAAGGGGAATGTGGGTCCATGATGAAAGGACTTTGTTGTGCGTGGTCCTAAAGAGATGCCCAAAGAGCTTTCTATCTGAACAGCAGGGGAAAAGAGCAATATAAAGGGACATAATCAAGGTGACATCCAGAAGGAGATGAGTAGGTGGGCCAACAACCCCCGTCAGAGGCTGGGTCCTCCTCCATGTTACCCTGTGATGCACCCTGCACAGCCTTGCCCTGGTGTAATTCTGCATATCTCCTCCTGAGTTCATCCTCTCTAGGTATATACCCACATTCTGGGAGTAGGACTGAATCTGATTTTCCTTGGAATTCACCAAAGAAAGTTCCTGATACCATAGTAGATCTTATTACCTAACTATGTCCTGTCATCTCTCCCGTCCTCCTTCCAGGCAGTGCTTTGGAGATGGTCTGAACTGGGCAGGTTGCTCTATCATTGTTCTCCTTGGACAGCAACGGCGCTTTGACCTTTTTGACTTCTGCTACCACCTCCTGAAAGTGCAGAGACAGGATGGGAAGGATGAAATCATAAAAAACGTGGTAAGTTGAAGGGTGAGGTCCCAAAGGACCTGAACCAGCACACTTCTCTGTTTTCTATCTTGCTTTGTCCAAACTCATAAATTACAAGCATGCCTGGTGTTAACCTTATTCAAACTGGACACACTCCCTGTGAGATTTCCATCTGCAGTCTCAGCAGAGAGGCCAAGGATTTAATTGGCTTGACAATCAAATCTATTTTTTCTCCCAAAGGTTTTCCCTTCCCGGGGTTGAGAAGCTGGAGCTGAGAAGCGGGTATTTCCAGCAAACATCCTGTGATCTCAGTGGCTCTATCAATAAGCAGCTGGGAGCCTAGGCTTTAGAATGGCTAAGTTAGGACCACTCACAGACCATGTTGATGCTCTGTCTTGAGTCATCAAACCCTATAATGAAGTGAGTCACCGGTCCCTGGGAGGTGCTAAGTGGAACTCTAACACATATTATAGCTGTTTTGCTTTAGCAGATGTTTCCATCAGCAGAGCAGAGGTACTGGTGTTTTCTAGCTGGTCAGATGACATAAGACTCTTCATCTGCTGTTTTTTCCCCTCACCACCCCTCTAGCCCTTGAAGAAGATGGCTGACAGGATCAGGAAGTATCAGATCCTGAACAACGAGATTTTTGCCATCCTGAACAAGTACATGAAGTCAGTGGAAACAGACAGTTCCACAGTGGAGCACGTCCGCTGCTTCCAGCCTCCAATCCACCAGTCGCTGGCCACCACCTGCTAGTGTGGAGACTGACCCCACAGGGGTTGGGAAGGAAGAAGGGACTGAGCCCAGAAGAGCTGGGAGGAGTAAACTCAATGGCGTGAGACCTGGCAACAAATAAGCCTGGGTGTGCCTACTGCATACGAGGACGCATCTTCCCATCCGGCCCTGTTTGAGTGCATGTTCTTCTGTACCATCCCTGTGACCAGTTGTACTTGTAGCTTTCAGACTTGGGGGTGGGTGGGGGCGGGCGGGCGAAATGTGCTTTTCTTCCATGAAGTGGTTTTTCCCCTGTGATTCATCCAGCTGAACACTCTGAAGCCATATTGCAGCCCCAAACATGGGGTCCTGGTGGAATTTTCCACAGTGCCAGGAGCCCATTCCCACCGCAGAAGCAAGGGGGCAAATCAACATCCTCAGTGATACGTGCCACCAGCCATGGAGCAGGAGAGCCTGGAGAAAAGCCCCTGATTCACTCTGTGGGGAGAAGAAGAGATGAAAGCAGGATGTTGGCTGTAGCAGCCCCCTGATGGACACAGAGGAGCTGTGCTGGCGCTTGGGTGGCTGCATGGCTCAGGCTGGCGCTAGTTTTATGATCTCTGCCACATCCTTAGCCTTTCTGGCATCTTGTAAAGGGAGCTTTAGCACATGGGTTTCAGAATAGAAATAATGTAATCGTCAAGTAAGTCCTTAGCACTTTGGATTTCTGGGGAAGGTGAAAGTGGCCTGGCTTTTTTCCTGCTATGGGACATCCACTTATTTTCATGCAAAGGGTTCTCCCCCAAAGACACATCTTCCATGGACTACACAAGATTTCTTATGGACTATACAAGAGGCTGCATTCACGTGAATGTACTTTTAAACATATTAATTTGGGTGGAAATAATTACTGGTCCTGAACAGGAGGCAGGTGTAGTTACTTTGAACGTACATGATCAAAGATCTTCTGCCAATGATGAGAGCTAGAGTGTGTACTCTGTGTCTGTTCTGGGACGCTATTTTTCCTTGTTTTAGACAAATTCCTAGTGGCACAGCAATCAAATATCTTTCTTCAGAGAACGACTAGCCGCAGGGCTTAGGAAACTTCCCATCATTCAGAAATGATGTTATTGTTTAGAAGAGGTAAGATACAGGATAAGCATTAAAAAATACTCAGAATTTTCCAGGTTTAAAGGCATTAAGAGGGAACACTGGACTCTGTTTCCTTTTTCCACTCAGCTAACATAAGATCCCTGGATATTGAGAACAAATTCAGTAGGAACTTCAAGGAGGATTTCATAACTCATGGTCTTCCCTGCTTCCCCTCAGTAGTGTCACTGAAGTGATACACAAGCTTGTGCTTCAAGTTAAAGCAGATCAGACGACATGCTCCAGGAGAAAATGATGTTAGTTTTACCACTGGCAACATTCTAATTTCTCAGCTTCAGCCAGGTCACAGCAGATAATTGCTGTTACAGTATACAGATGTGACAACATGTATTCCTTTTGTGCATTCCATCACATCCTGTAAACTGCATGCTCTTACAGATGTTAAAAAGGCAGAGCCTGGGCATTTAATCTCTTAGAGGGACCATATAATTGGTAGAAATGTCCCAGCTGGAATATTTTGCCTTAGGAAACAGCAGCCAGCAAATTACCATCAGCAAGATTAGATCTTGTTGGGTTGGATGAATTTGTTCTCCTTTGATAATCAATAAATACCCCACACAGGAAAAGTGCTGGACATTTTCACACCTTGAGTTTCCTTTGATGACCAAGACAGACATTTATACTGCAGGGAGAAAATTGTGCAGCACAGTAATCCGAAAGTAAAATGAAATCTCAGGCAGCCTGACTGAAACCTTTAAGTGGCAGGGAAGGAAGGATCCAGCCCAGCAAGCCAGGTTGTTTTTCCCAGCAAGCCAGGTTGTTTTTCCCTTGTTGTGAGGAAGAGCAGAAGAGCATCTGGGACTGCAGGGCTCTTGCTCACTATTTACTTTTCCACTAAGGATGTCAGTTCTGGTTTTCCATCACGTTCCAACACTTCTACACTGCTGGAGTGAGGGTATCTACAGATTTATATTTTTAAAAGGAAGAGGAGAATCAAGCACCTTATTTTTTGTGGAAAACAAGATATGAGGAAGATAGATACAACCAAGATCCTATTTTTCCTGACCTATGTAGTAAGTGCTTGTTATTTTGGTATGAAAGTGTTGCTGAAGAAGGTGGCACAAGTCCCTGTCTGGCTCTCAGAGCCACCTCTGGGCACAGCACAAATTAAACGTCCTATTGCGTCTGACATGTTACGGGATGTTGGAGTCTTCTCAGAAGCCAGCATGAGCAAGAAGTTACGACAAAAAGATAAACTGTACCCCACAGCCCAGTCTCAGCTACCTAGACAAAACAGGATATAGTAAGGTGAATTTAAATGCCTGTTTTCACCTGTTTAGGTCCGGAGTGAGCTATGAGATATTTTACCTAAAGATGAATATCACTTTGCATAGTTTTGCTGTAGTTTTGCCCTAATAACACTCTGAAACCCTGCCAAATACAGTTGCATGTACTTGGAAGAACAGGTAGATGAAATCTATTTGTTGCCCTCCACAAAATTCCTTCGGATTAAGGGATTAAAAGTTTTGAGCAAAATGTCTGAAGTGCATGAACAAAATGTAAAGTGTTTTTGACTGTAGAGTGTATGCAGATTTTTTTATCTTGGTGCTGAAGTAGTATGAGATGTCAGCTAGGAATAATTTTATTGTCTTCATTTCTGAGATTTGGCGTTATTGTCCTTTTATTATCTAAAGGATGCAAATAGTCTTTAGCTTCAGTTCTCTAACCCTCCTTGACTGTGAATGAGAAAGAAGTCCAGGCTTAGGTCTTTAAAGAACTCCACGAAAGTGGAATTTTTCCCCTTCTGTCCTTTTTTTTAATAATTGTTAATGAAAATAGGGAGCAAATTTGTAACAGTAGAGCTAAATAGTAACCGGTTGCTATGGGGCCAGGCATATTCTCCACACTTACAGACTTTCTGCCAAGTCTTCCTTGCAGATATGCTCCAATCCTACAGTTTTCAGCCTTTTACAGTGTGCAGACCCTTATTTTTTGTTTTTCCGAGGGAAATGAGGACCCTTGTCTGGATATTTTTAAGTCCACTGACCATGGGCTTGGTTTTTTTACCCACATTTTCTGTTTGCTCTAATGTACACTACAAACTCCCCAGGATTTACCAGCCACCACTTGGAACATGTACTTCAAAGACAAGTTGTTTGCTCAATACAGGAATAACAGGGGTGAGAACAGATGGCCTGTGTCACGAATGAAGTCAGACTAGGTTATTTTAATGTTCCCTCTGGCTTTGAGATGATAAAATGTGACTATCGACAGTGCAGATGCCTTTCTTCGATGATGCCACACTTGACTTTCAATGATACATTAGAAAGGGGAAGCAAACTAGTTCCAGCTCAGCCCTTCAGTGGTTTTCCTTTTAAACTCCTCACAGCACTTATTAGCATGGAACACGTTAGTCTCTTTTCTCCTGCATTACTCCAGTCCAGTAGGTTCATGTGTGTTGGAGAACAAAAAGAAAAAAAGAATTGAAGGTGTAAAAACCCCAAGAAAATAGTTTCAAAAACTCCTGTCAAATGTACCATATTTGTATGAAAAGCTGCTTGAGTTCTTTTGTACAATGAATTTTATTTATGGTGAGGTATCTTTACGCTTGTGTTCTGATACAGTGTTAAATTTTTGATCCATATTTGCTATGCAGCTGAAGATGATATTTTGATTTTGTATTATTATTTTTTGCTGTTGTTCTAAAATTTAGCTAACAGAAGCTTCCATCTCCATTAGAAATGCTTCTGCAAGAGTAAAGCATTTGGTACATGATGATATGTCCCGTAACACAGCAACCAACAGTGTGTACAACAAATGTGGGATGACTTTTGTGATGAAGAGAAATAAAAATTTGGCTCATTCATGAAATGGGCGGACTCTACCTTGTGGCAACATCATATTGGCCATACCTGTTATCTGGGGAGTGTCTCTAATTGTACCCGGCACAAAGAAAAAGCTAAGAGGAAAAACGGCAGCATTTTGCCAATAAAAATATTAAGCTTTTGTAGGAAATAAAAAATATGAAGTTTTGTGGACAGCACTAAAACAAATTTTCCTACCAAAAAATGTATTGATTTTTGAGAAAAACATCCTTCCACAAACAAATTTTTATTTGAAAACTTGTTTTACTATAAGAGGGCCAGGGGAGGAAAAATTATATAAGTATTTTTAATAGAATTTGACAGACCCTACTCAAAAAGCTAAACTGAGGAGCTCATTTCCTCTCATTACCACAGCTTTGTCAGCTCAACAGGGCCCTTTTTATTCCAGGAGACTCTCCTTGCTGCTTTATTCCAAATATCCATTTGAAAGCATCCTTAGGTTTGTGTTAAAAGTATTCGTGGTTGTTGACCGCAGAAGGAGCAGTGGAAACTGAAGAAAAAAGACCTTGGACCTGAGGAATTGGGGTGACACAACTGGCTGTATGGGAGCAGGCGCACCTGTGCTTCATCAGCTCAAGACAAAATACAATAACTGCTCCCTTTCATAGCTTCTCCCCAAGGTTTCTGCATGGGAACAGCTTCCTAGCTTAAGAGAAATAAGAATTCAATGATTCTTCACATGAAATTGGAAGTGGACTTTACACCATGGCCAGGCATCTGTGTTGATCTTTCCCATGTGCTTTAAGTTATGGACACATGATGTGCCTGCGGCTTTGTGTGTAATGTAGTGCCCTGGAGGACGTTTGCCTGATGGCTGAAAGTTGCCCAATGTTTACTGATTTCAACCTGGTTCTGCAATGGGGAACAGCAGAGAAGAGAGCAGGACTTTGTTCCTGCCTCAGCCACTGATACTAGCCAAGTTGTTTGGTTTCCATCCTTTCTTCCATCACGATTTTTTCTTTTTTTTCCTTTTTTTCTAAAGAAAAAAACCCTAATTTTAGGTGCTGTCTCATGGACACCCCCATACTAACATAAGTCTTAAGCAGT